GCCCCCTGAATAGCTAGGGTTACAGGTGTGAGCTCCCAGCTCCCAGCTCTAGTCAGTTTCTTATGTAGCCTTGCCCACTACCAACTTCTCTTAAGCTGATGTCAATCAAGTGTGAAGCAGATGCTTGGGGATCTGAGGGAAAGAGCAACGCAGATAGGAAAGGGTTAGGTGGTAGATGGTACCTGAGAAATACTGTATTTCCTTGCTCATTTAGAAACTTAGCAATTTGGGAATAAGGAATTTTGCACTTCCCAACTAGGTTATTATGGAAGGACTAACTAGCAGCTTCCTAGTGAATGGAAAATTAAATATTTGTAAGTCTCTAGTTTAGAAAGGAATTTCCCATAAACCAACATTCACTATTAAAATGGAAAAAAAAGGTGGAAATGAGAGCCTAGGTCTCTTCCCAGGGGAAGAATAGTTTGGAATGAGTATTACATCTATATCTGGGCTAGCCTGGACTTTGAATCCTAATTTATGTTTCACACATGGCTAAAATGGCACATGCCACCACTCCCAGGTTTTATTGGTTATGACAGGGTCCTGAATTCTCCTCATCTCTGCTTCTGAGTAGCTAGGAATACAAGTGTAAGTCACCATGCCCAGCTCACTTCTTTTTTGTTTTAATTTGCAAATTTTATACATTTAAGAAGAAAAGTTTCAAAACTAAGATAGTTTATTTTTCATTGTATTCCTGAATAGCATAAAATATATAAAAATATAAAATATATAAAAAATAAAATATAAAATATATAAAAATATAAAAGGTATTTGTATAGAGATAGTAAATCTCAGACTCAAGTCAAATTTGTTCTATGAGACATAACTTACAGCTTGGAAGAGCAGATCCACAATTTTAATGTCATTTGTAATGGTGTGTTAATGATGCTTTCAGCATGTAAGAAGTAGGCCATTAGACCATGAACAGAGATTTTGAATTTATATCTCCTTTTCATTTTACTTCTTTCCATTAAGCCTTTATGGATTAAAAAAAAAGTGTAAGATTTAATTGCAAGTTGCTCTGGACTGTGTGGAGAAAGTGGAGATGATGGCAGATGGACCCTCTTTGGAAGTAATTTTCAAAGAAAGAGCCCTTTCCTCCTTCATAAGTCAGCAAACAAGCTGGGCTCTGTGAAATGGTTTTCTTGCTTTGCAATGTTGATATAAATGTCTTTTCTATCTCTGGCAAGTTCTAAGTTTCAAAGAATACTGGAGGTGTCTGTCACTCAGTGATAGAACACATGCATAGCATGAGCAAGGCTCTGGGTTTGATTCCCCATACCAACAAATATAAGATAAAACACTAATGTAGCTGGGTATTACAGAATTGCGAAGTATTTTTTAGGACAGCATGAATGCCATCTTGGACAGATGGAATTGTACTTCTTAGATGTGAGGCAAAAATAAAGTGCTTATTGGGTGAAAAGTAATGATATATCTGAATCTTTCATAGCATAAAATCAATTCTAGCATGAATCGTTTAAACTATTAATTAGTACTTTATAACTATCCCCCCACTAAGCAGTTTCATATGTCAGAAAGTTTTAGCACCATTAACAACCTGAAATATAGGCTACAGAGGCACAAGCCAGTTCTTATCGAACATATAGATATTATTCTACTTTATCTCCTTTCTAGTACAGTAGAAGCTGATATATCCATCAGGCTACCTGCCAGAAACATCTACTAATTTTATTTTTGCATTTTCAATTAGCCACACTAATATTCATAATGATAAAAGACATTTTAATCACTTAAAATGTCTCATGATCCAACAATAAACAATATAATATTCATTTCGGGGCAAATTTTACTGTACAGTATTATAAGCCTTTAATTGATTAGTTTTTTAAGCATAGCTTAATTGTCCTCTCCCCAAGAGAAACCTCCTTCTTTGCTCCCCCTCCCCCAAATGACTTGATGATTCTGAGGGACAATCAGCCTGACTGGGACCAAGAGAAATACATTAGAATCAAAATCACACACCCCATGGTCCTTTGCAACGTGTCCTGGGAAGTGAGGTAACTCCAGGAAGGTAGTCGGGGTGAGATGATAGAAGTTAGATTTAGACAGATATGTAGATGCTGTATAGTAGAACATTTTGCAGAGAGAATGCGTAAGTCAATAACCATCTTATCTCCAGGACCAAGGGAGGCCAAGGAGATACCTAAAGGAAGAGAACATGAGTTCTGAGTTTATGACATTTTCAGAGAAGATTCTTAGCATATGTCAAGATAGAAATTAGTAAAGTTTATAACAGCAAAGAAAGGAGAGTACGCACCCAGACCTGGGTATGTGGTCACATGAAAGAGGGACATTGGACATTTTAATGTTAGTGAAACTTATTCCAGGTGAAATGGATGTAATTTAAACCTTTAGCTAAGTGCGCCTTTGTTCTAAGCAGCCTGGACATCCCAACCATTCCTATCGCTATGGTATTCTGACTTTAACCAATTCAGCCAGACACATTCAATCTGAAAAGGTAGTTAATTAGGTGTCCTTGCAACACTTACTTCCACCTTCAGAGGAAGGAAGGGGAGTAAACTAGAAAGTAAGTTTGGTCTCTAGGGCACAATTGTCTGAAGCAAGGACAAAGGTGGAGAAGGAAGGTCATCCTTGTACTGTTCAGTGAAGGAGCATGAAGCTTAAAGAAAATGGTGTTTGTGCACTTCTAGTTTGGTTATACATTAATAAAGTGTATATTTGCAAATTGCAGGTTTCTTCTCAAGTTCCATGTCCCATCCTGCCTCATTTCCATCTTCCACTCTCATAAAGACCTGAGTGGATGAGTTCAGTTGATTCCCCAGGAGACTGCTCAGTGAGCACCAGACTTAAAGCCACTCTACTGCTCACTATTTTCTGTGAGACTTGAAACTGCTTTGTCATTTTAATGAGGCTATTTCCTAAGCATAAAGACAAAGGATAGTTCTCAGCTTTCAAAGCAATCTACCTTTTTGGTGTTTTTTTGTTTTGTTTTGTTTTCCCCCAGCACTGAAGTTTGAACTGAAGGACTTGTGCTTATTAGGTAAATGCTCTACTACTTGAGCCACTCCTTCACTTAATCATAAATTCAAATTTGTTTAAAAACTTAAGAACTGGGGCTGGGAAGGTGGCTCAATGGTAGCGTGCTTGCCTTGCATGCATGAGGCCCTGGGTTCAATTCTTCAGCACCACATAAGCAAAAAGAAAAAAGCTGAAAGTGGCGCTGTGGCTCAAGTGGCAGAGCGCTAGCCTTGAGCTGAAGAGCTGAGGGACAGCGCCCAGGCCCTGAGTTCAGGCTCCATGACCGGACCAAAAAAAAAACAAAACTTAAGAACTATCCTTGCATTTCTTCCCTACAATACTGTATAGAAAGGCATTAAAGTGCAGCAAGCTGATGGATTCAAGTGTTCATTGAGTTCAAATCTAATTCTAATACTAGCTACGATTACCAGCTGTGTGACTTGAGTTAAACTTTGCACTTCTAAGTATTAACTGAAGAACAAGGCTGTTAATACTATCTATTGCACAACTTTTGAGCATACAAAGAAGCAAATATGTATGTAAAGTGTTTAGAAAAATACCAGGCTCATAGGCATTGCCAGAAATATATATATATGGTACTCTAAGATGGCTAGCCCTAACCAGGCAAGATTGCCTATAACCTTCAACTTTGGAATGAGTCAACTTCCCTGTTGAGAAAGTGAATCAATATAAATTTCATAGCCTAAGTCTCTGGCATGACAGTGCACTTTGTACATTCAACTTTGGATAACAGCAGCTAAGCTACTTCCTGCAATGTCCTTTTGTAACTTTCTTACTAATGTCCCCAGGTCTTAGCCAACATTACCCCCATTTAGAAGTGATGCATGATTGTTGCTATGGGGAAATGACCTTATGAGGTCTTTTCTCATCCTTGCAATGGTCTTCCCTCAACCCTATTTCTTTATTACAGTCATTTTGCTTTTAGTTAGTGTTGCTTAATGTGCCCTTTTCAACAATATAGTACAGATTTTGGAACTATCTGTGGCTTCCATTGTCTTCTTGGGATCTTAGAACACAGCACCATGTGAATAAGAGGATCTAATGTATTCCAATGGGTAGTAGCTAAAGCTGGCCTGTACACAACTACGGGTCAGTGATTTTTCCACCAGTGTATCACCTTCTTCTCAAAGAAATTCTTATCATTTGATCCAAGCCCTGAGTGATACCCCAAAACTGAATAGCAACCTCTTCTGTACTAGCTGGACCACAAAAAAACTTCATTAAGACAAGACACTGAAGATTTCTAATTGTTGCCAAGTTATCTTGAAACAGTATTATGTGGCTTCTGACATAGCCAGTAGGTCTAAATACAATCAAATTTACAAGAATGATGACAAAAATGGAATTCTACAACTCTCATCTGTTAAACAGACTCTCAAGATGACTTATGTCCAAACCAGAATTAAATGGCATAAATATTATCATATGAAAATTGATGATAAATTTTTACATTTGTACTTTCAGAAATAAATCATTCTCTGGATGCCTTATTAGGTTGCAGTCAAGTTTCTTCTTTAGTGAATTATCTTTTATTCTAACTGTAGATTCTTCTTGGCACAAGGTAAAAATATCCTTTTCTCATGACATTGGGATAGAAAACAGTAGTATTTATTTTGTGAAGTATTTTTTAAAAGTTGTCAACACAAAGTTGAGCCCACTCTTCATCTTTTAATAAGTAAGAGTCCAGGATCCTCCAAAACTGTGAAGATGGCAAAGATACAGAGTAGGCTGTATAAATTCCCATTCCCAGTGCTCGTCATACATAAACTACTTCATGCCTGATACTTAAGCAAAAAAAACAAAGAATATAGAGTATATTAACTACACTTCATTTTTAAAAGGGCACATTTACTTTGTCAACCTCCTCTTTAGACATTAAAATAACTTGAAAGATATACAAGTAGAAGGAAAGACTTAAGTCAACCCTCAGAAATTGAAACTTGGAAGATGCATGTAACAAGACAGGGAAACAAAGATTAAAAACAAGTAGCTTTATTAATGCACGCAGAATACATCACATGGGAAAATCTTCAATGACAGGTAACTCCAAGAAGTTGCTTAAAGCTCTGGTTTACATGGGGTCATCAACAAGGAAAAGTTTTTTACGGAAGAAAGTAGTTTAGGCTTTCAGAGGTGGGAAGTAGTGGAACACAAGGTCATAGGAAAAATCCAGCGAAGTAAGGTTTAATTCCCCTGTCACTATGAGTGAACTGGGAAAGATTCTCTTTAGTGGTGACCTTCTGTTCTGCCTTGTGGACATAGGAAGCAGTGATACTTTTAGTATGTTATGACTTGCTTTTATGCAACTAGGGGGAGGGCAGAGAGCTTTTTTCACTTTGCTTCTTCAGTTCAAATACTTACATCAAAGAAACACATTTTGGGGTTAGGTGGTCCAGTTTCCTATATAGCACATAGAAAAAAATCACAAAAACAGTAATGAATTATATATAAGTAGACAATATATGAGAACTCTTTTACAAAGACATACATGACAGAGAAGAGAAACAATCATCTTTATATAATATTTAGACATTAATTATAAACCATAGCAGTGAAAGCTTTCCGAACATTGGCAAGAAAAGCTGAAAAATTGTTGGTCTTCCTCACATTCTCTTGCAATTCTGCAAGGCATTCAAGATGAGGAGCACTATCTGACACTAGAAGAAAAAAAATGAAGATAATATAAATGAGGGTTTTTTTCCATGGGAGAGAAGTATTTCTAATAGACATTTGCTCATCTGATCTGAATGTCAATTACTTTTTCTAAAATGCTTTGAGCATAAAATGATACACTTGATGCTATCTTTTGGACCTTTTCTTAGTTTAATCTCTAAATATTCAAATCTTAAACACTACAATCCGGCTTTAAATTTAAACAGTTGGTACTGGAGAGACTGCAGGGCTCAGTGATGCAGTATGCCATTTTCCTTCATCTTATATCCACACCACACATTTTATCTTTTAACTGAGCAGTTTCTAAACTTTCAACTGATGGACTTCTAGTATCTCACCAGTGGATCAAGATGAGTACAAATTTCAATACCAATTCATAATATCTAACAAATAAGGAAGAAACAGCTAGTTTGCACAAGTGAAATGGAAGTTATTGGAAATGTGGTTTTCAAGAGTCATATTTATGAAGTCTATTGATCAAATGAGACTCAAAAGTCACAAACAATACTCCTCATATAGAGTGTAATGGCTGAGAGCAAACCTTCAGGGAGGTGGTCAAAGGAAATGGAAGACTAGATTTCTGTAGTCTTCATCATAACAGATTTCCAGCTCTGATAGATAACGCTGGGGACTAAGGACTATGACCACAGCAGAGAAGAAATAGCAAAGGGCACATGGTTAAATATATTTCTACCCTCTTACTATTCACGCTAGTATTAATTATATATTCCCAGGTATCAAAGGCCTTTAGTTTGCTAAAGAATAGTAACTAGTCTACATTACATTTGATCTTAAAGTCATCTACTTAAGTTGTCTAAAAAGAACTTCATATTTGTGTATGACTGCAGTAATGTTTGGTCTTGTAGACTTTCAATCACTGTGGCATTAGACCATCTTGAAGAGAAGTTACTAGGCTCCTACACAGTATATAGTTTCTATAAATCAGAACTATCCTCACATCCTTCCCTTTCCAGAAAGACTGGAAAAGGAAACAAAAGGACTGTGGGAATATTACATTACTTCATACACTTAATTACCTAATCCAAAAACCACTTGGGGATACTATTCTCAAACACAAGTTAAGAGCGCTGAGAACACACCTTCATAGTCTCTTGCTTCATTCAGATGTAAGGAAAACATAAATGGAGTCTCAGGATGCTTGGGGTCAATACCAGTGAATATAAACTGCAATTTGCCACCTGAAAAGAAATTAATAATTTAGCATGAGAATATTTTAGCATGCCAAAATTTTCAATGGAGATAAGGTTGCTTTCCATATCTATGATCAATACTGTATTGCTGAGTATATGTATCCACTTAACCAGTATCTCTAAATGTAGACATTCTAAGTTGATTTTAATTTAAATATGATTTTAAGCTGAGCACCAGTGGCTCAGCCTATAATCCTAGCTACTCAGGAGGCTGAGATCTGAGGATCGCGGTCCAAAGCCAGCCTGGGCAGGAAAATCTATGAGACTCTTATCTCCAATAAACAACCAGAAAATCAGAAGTGGCCTTGTGGCTCAAGTGGAAGAATGCTGGCCTTAAGCTGAAAAGATGAGGGACAGCTCCCAGGCCCAGAATTCAAGCCCCACAACCAATAAATATATATACACACAATGTCAATATCATAAGCAGCAAAAGAAAGGAATAAACTGGATATTACTGAAATTAAAAACTTCTTCAAAGGAAAAGATAAATAATAAGACAATTATAATCACAAAAATCCAGTGAAGTCTAAATACATAGAAGATACATGTTTTAGAACCTCCAAAATTGAACATGAGGGATTCAAAGAGATAGGTGTATTCTAATGTTTAATATGTTATATATAATAACCAAATAATGAAAACAATCCAGTGTCCCACAAAAGGTAAATCACTAAACCAATGGAACATATACATTCAGCAGAGCATTGTTCATTCACAAAAAAAGATGTTCTCATATGTATTATAATATGGACAATCCTTGAAAATGTAATGCTAAATGAGATCAACAGGACACAAAAGGAAAAATGTATATGATCCATTTACATAAAAAAGATAAACAAACTCCTTGAAACAGAAAGCAGATCGGCTATTAAAAGATTGAACGGGGTGGGGAGGGGTGCGGGGGAATGGGGCGTTATTTCATAGAACTGGAAGTGAAGAAAAATTCTAAAAATTAATCATGGTCAGTAATGGTTGTACAGCATTGCAAATGTTAATTACATCACTGAATTTACACACTTAAAGTGGCAAATTTTATATAACATATTTTACCACAATGAAAAGGTACTATTAAACCTTGCAGCCTGGACTTAAGTCTACTTTTCAAAAGTACTTCAAATGCTCCTAAAAGGAGTAAATACCCAGTAGAAATTCACAAGTATTTTAGGGTTTTTTTTTTTTTTCTGTCATGTAAAAACTTAGGAGAACTCATTATAAACCTCTTTATTTCAAAAATGAATCTTACTTTGATAAAAACAAAAACAAAACTATCTCCCATTCAACTTCAGAATGAAGTAGTTACGCCCATACACCAGATTTTTAAAACTGTTCATAGTAACAGAAAGGAAAATAAGATTTCAGGGTTAAACATATGGGGAAAAAAAAAAAGGTGCCCAAGTGTTTATCCTATTCTGTCACTCAACGATCGATAGAGAATACCTGGGTAGCTATCGGTGGGCCAATAGTTCCTGCATCAGTTCTGCTGTGGACCAGTTGATTGTCCTCTAATTCAATTCAGTGTGGACACTTTCCACCTGAGAACAGCCCACCACCATCCTTTCCTTGGGCTGAACTGGTTTGCTTGAGCAGTTCACAGAACTGAGGGAAACACTTTACTTGTTTATTTTAAAGGATGTTGCAAAGTATATACATAGAGAAATGTGAAAGACAAGGTATAGGAGGCAGAATGTGGACCTTCCATCCCTTCTCTGGCCGTGTCTCACCCCAGAAACCTCAGTGTTCAGTTGTCTAGAAGCTCCTAGATCCCAGTCTCTTACCGCTTTTATTATAATAATCTTTATTCTGTACATACGACTGATTAAGTCCTGGGCATTTGGTGATGAGCTATGCAGCTCTCCTCCCCACCTTTCCCCAGAAGTTGGAGGGTGGTCTTCAGGTGACAATCTCCCACCATCCGAAGTCACCCATGTAGAAGCTGGCCATAGGTCAACTCATTTGAACACAAAATGACATTCATCATTTTAGATACCTCAAAGATTTTAGGAGTTGTTCATTAGGAAACTGGGAAAGACACCAAAAAGCTTTCATAACATCGTACTTCCTTAAAACATTATTTCCTGACTTCAAGGGCTATGAACAAATTCTATTTGAAATGTAAAAATAACTTTAAAGTCTTAAATCTGGCTATTTAAAAACTAAACTAAACAAACAACAGCAACAACAACAAAGAAAATGCAAGATGATGGCAAAGATCTACTTAAGAATACTACACATCTAAAGGTCAGAGTTGACTCTTATATTCTTATTTACTCAAAAGATTAATAATGTTTATTAAAAACTCTATCTAATTAGCTTAAAAAAATCAGCCCAACTGATAGGAAAAACTCCAAGACTAAGAAATATGTCAGTAAAAAAAAAAATCAAACAGCAAAAATATATAATTAGTAAAGAAATAGGAAAAAATTGTCACCCTTTAAGAAAGGAAATGCATCAGAGAAATGCTTTTTTAAAAATTTAATGTACAGTTCTGGTGATAAGAGAAAAATTCTGGCAGTTGGAAGACAGTAGGAGAAAAGGGGGTTTAAGGTTTGTTCTTACATAAGACACTTTGGGACTCGAATTTATGTTAGATCCTTAATTCAAATCCATACAGGCCTGTAGGTCCTAATCCTTACAACCCCAGTTAATCTAAAGCAACAAAGACTTCTTCCTATCCCGATGAACTTCCTTCCTATTCCAATACTGCCCATCTTCACAGAATCCTACCTTTCTTATCTACAGCCAGGGAATGCCCAATGTAAGCATTTTATGCCTTCTCTTCCCAAATTGTCATGGGGGGGAAAGGTTCTTTGAGCTAGCCTGGTGGACATTTTGCCAAATGCTACCTAGATCTGCCACAGATATCTGTGGGATCTTATCCCAATAAGGTTCCTTCTTTCTAGCTAACATCTATAAAAGTTTGAATTTGTGTGCATGTGTTGGTACTGGAGCGTGAGCACTGGACCTGAGCACTGTTTCTTAGCTTTTTTGTTCAGGGCTGACACTCTACCACTTGGGTCATAGCTCCACTTTTGGCTTTTTATTGGTTAGTTGGGGATAAAAGTCTCATTCAATTTTTCTGCCTGGACTTTGAACCCCAGTCCTTAGATGCTACCCTCCTGAATAGCTAGGATCATGGATTCTTTTATTTCAGAGACCTCTCAGTCTCAAGAACACAATGAAATGGGTTCTTTCAGACCATATAGACAGACAACTATATGTAAAAGTTAACAAAACAGGCTTGAGATTGCTATTCTTAAGACCCTTAGGAAGCCCTGCTTCCCAGGATGGCCATGGGTTGGTAAGTATTAGTCCCCAAGATCAACTTGAGAAGGATTCAACAAAGCCTGCAAAAATAAAAGACGTATAAAGACCAAAGAAACCAGGTACAAGCTATTAGATTTTTCTAATAAGCTTTCAGTAAACAAGCTTTCTTCATTCACATGTGTTGTCACAATTCAATGCTTCAAATAATAAAGTCCATCCTGTCGGATTCTGTTTAGTACTCTCAAATACTTACGCCTAATTCCCTCTATACTTTATAATGTGCCTTCTTTGCTAACAATATTTTGTAGACTTTTGTTGTAATACATCTTAGCCTGGAGTAGGACTGCAGTCACTTTCATTTCTCTCTGATTTTTAATTACTTATAAATCAAGGTCTAAAAATATCAAATGGAAAATTCCAGAAATAAACTGACATATTTGAAATTGTGAACTGCCTAAACTATGTAATACAATCTCATGCCCACCTATTCTGTTAGCCCAGAATGTCAATCATTCCTTTGTCCCTCCCACCATCTGTCCAGGATGTCAATCATCCCTTTGTTCAGTATAGCCACACATCTTAGTAACCAGATTGTTAACATATTGGAGGGCTTGTATTCAAGTTACCCTTGTTTACTTAATGGTCCAAAAGCGCTAGTGATACTAGTCATTTGGATATGGCAAAGAGAAGCCATGAAGTACTTCCTAATTTAAATAATACACAGTTCATGCAGCATTTATTACTAACAGCAGTCTCAGAAGTCCACTGCAGGCTGGAACATACCCATACAGGCAAGTAGAACAATATATTCTGAGTCCTCTGAGTTAATCACCAAGGCTGACAATGAGCTTGGGGAACTCAAAAACAGCAAACATTATTGTAAATTAGCACATATATAAGTAACAGCAATAGGAGTATCCATATGTTTTAACCTAGTGATCCCTTGAGATGGCAGTAGCTCACACCTGTAATCCCAGCTGATACGAAGGTAAAAAAGGTTTCAAGGCTAGCCAGGGCAAAATGTTAGTGAGGCCTTATCTCAACAAACAAGCTGATTATGGTGTTAATAGGCCTATCATCTCAGTTACACTGGTGAAATTGGTAGGAGTATGAAAGTTAAGAGACTGGCTTCAGGCAAAAAAGCAAGATATCCTAGTTAGACTAAAAAACACCTAACTCAAAAATAAGTAAGGCATAAATTTTAAGTTGAAGAATGTCTAGCAAGCATGAGGCTCAGAATTCAAGTCCCAGTATGGCAAAATAAAATGGAAAAAGAACAAAGAAAAGAAAATGAGGGATCTATTTATTTCTAAAACTGAAAGACTACTCAGGAGGCTGAGTCAAAGCCAGCCCATGAGACTCTTATCTCCAATTAACCACCAGGAAACTGGAATGACACTGTAGCTCAAATAGTAGAGCACTCGCCTTGAGCTGAAGAACTGAGGGACAGCACCCAGGCCGAGTCCAAACCCCACGATCGACAAAAAAAAAAAAAAAAAGCAGATAAATAATTAAAGCACCAAAAGTCATTTAGGGATGATTTAAAAAACTAATTTTTCTCCTATTTTCTCAAAAGACAATAGTATAATTATTTTAATTCAAAACATTTAAAAAATTCTTCCCTACTTAAAAACAAACATTTTCTGATAGCTCTGTTCATCACTGATAGTTACAAAGTTGTTATAGAGATAAAAACAGTGACTCTGAATTAAAAAATCAAACACATCAGAACTTATTCAGCAAATAAAGAGTATCTTCTTTAAGCAGTCAGCTGCTATTTAAAATCCTCAGTATAGAGTTTAAACACTTGAGGTTTAGAAAGTTTATGGATAAACATGGGGGTATCTGTAGAACTGGATGAGGGAAATGGTATATTTATTTTATTAACCTCTTTGTGGAATTTATTTATTTTATTTAATTAAGAAAAAATAATCATCATCTATGATTTTTGTTGTGAATAGAAATCCTGAATCTTTTCATGTTCCATCATTTTTATCACATATTTCTGTTTTTGCATTTTAGGTATTAGACATTTGTAGCTTTTGCTATTTAGTGTTACTAGAGAAGCAAATATGTTACTGTACTGTAATTTTTTTTGGGGGGGGTCTAGTCGTGGGGCCTGAACTCTGGGCCTGGGCGCTATCCCTCAGCTCTTCAGCTCAAGGCTACCACTCTACCACTTGAGCCATAGCGCCACTTCCAGCTTTTTCCTTTTTGCTTATGTGGTGCTGAGGAATCGAACCCAGGGCCTCAAGCATGCAAAGCAAGTGCTCTACCACTGAGCCACCTTCCCAGCCCCTGTAATTTTATATTTTGATAACCATATTTAATAAAATTGGTTTGTGTTTTGTAAAAAGAAATACACACACACACACACACACACACACATATATATATACATTTTCTAATCTCCTAAATATTACTTACAACATTAAACTTACCATAGATTTTTCTAATTTCTAGTCCAAGTCGATCTTTATACACATCTGCTGATGTCTGCAGCCTTTTCAACCGCTCTTCATTAGCTTTGTTAGCAGTAGCAATCGCTATGATTAAAAAACAAACACACTGTAGTAGGTATTTTAAGTATCTCTCAATTCATTCTCATGGAATTAATATTAAGAAATGAAGATTATTTTTAAAAAGTATACATTAAAAACTTTGAATCTATTTACATTTATTCAGTTTCTATTTCTACCAACTAGCAAAAGCGGTAACTTCATTCCAGATGAATGGATAAATGCTTAAGACACAGATAATCAGGCCACAGAGGTATATAGCTAGCATAGAAATGGGCTTCCTTCGTTTTCTAAAATAGACCACATTTTAGGCCACAAAGCAAACTTGTCTAAATTCAGAAACATTGAAGTTATACCTTGCATTCTCTCAGACCACAAGGGAATAAAATTAGAACTCAACACCAAAAGCCACCAACGAAAGTCCGGTATCACATGGAGGCTGAACAACACACTGCTGAATCAAGAGTGGGTCATGGAAGAGATTAGAAAGGAAATTCAAATGTTCATGCTATTCAACAAAAATGAACACACAAATTACCAGCTCCTCTGGGACACGGCAAAGGCAGTACTCAGAGGCAAGTTTATAGCTCTGAGCTCCTACATCAACAAATTGGAGAGATCTGAAACTAGCAATTTAATGACACATCTAAACCTCCTTGAAAAAGAGCAGCAAGATAAACCCCAATCCAGTAGACGGAAAGAAATAATCAAAATTAAATCAGAATTAAATGAATTAGAATCCAAAAAAACTATAGAAAGAATCAATAAAACAAAGAGTTGGTTCTTCGAAAAACTTAACAAAATTGACAGACCCTTAGCAAATCTTATCAGAAAAAGAAGAGAACACACCCAAATTAATAAACTCAGAGATGAGAATGGAAACATCACCACAGAAACAACCAAGATTCAGAACATTATAAGGCAATACTTCTCAAAACTTTATGCTAATAAGTTTGAGAACTTGACAGAAATGGACCTTTTCCTAGCAAATATTGACATGCCAAAACTAAACCAAGATGAGTTAAACCAGCTTAACAGGCCCATATCAAGCATTGAAATACAAACAGCAATAAGAGACCTCCCAGCTAAGAAAAGTCCAGGACCAGATGGTTTTACAGCGGAATTTTACAAGGCCTTCAAAGCAGAGCTCACACAAAATACTCCTCCAACTCTTCAATGAAATTGAAAGAGAAAGCTCACTACCAAACACATTCTATGAAGCCATCATAACCCTCATCCCAAAACCAGGCAGGGACTCATCAAAGAAAGAGAACTATAGACCCATTTCTTTGATGAACATTGATGCAAAACTTCTCAACAAAATTTTGGCCAATCGACTTCAACAATTCATCCAAAAAATCATACACCACGATCAAACAGGATTCATTTCAGGGATGCAAAGCTGGTTCAATATACGCAAATCAATATTATTCATCACATCAACAGGAGCAAGAATAAGAACCACATGGTTATCTCAATAGATGCAGAAAAAGCATTCGACAAGATCCAACACCCCTTTCTGATGAAGGTTTTGGAAAAATTAGGAATCCATGGAACATTCCTCAATACAATAAAGGCTGTATATGACAAACCTACAGCCAGCATTATACTCAATGGTGAAAAACTAAAGCCATTTCCTCTTAACTCAGGAACAAGACAAGGATGCCCACTCTCTCCACTTCTCTTCAATCTAGTATTAGAATGCCTAGCTACAGCAATAAGACAAGATGCAGACATAAAGGGGATCCAAATAGGGAAAGAAGAAATAAAACTCTCCCTCTTTGCAGATGACATGATCTTGTATTTAAAGAACCCCATAGACTCCACTCCCAAATTACTCAAGCTGATTCAAAACTTTGGCAAAGTAGCAGGTTATAAAATTAACCCCCAAAAATCAATGGCTTTTCTGTATGCCAACAATGAGAAAAGTGTGGCTGAAATTAGGAAAGCAACTCCATTTGTAATAGCCCCACAAAAAATAAAATACCTAGGAATTAACTTAACTAAAGAAGTGAAGGACCTCTATGATGAAAACTTTAAAATCTTGAAAAAGGAAATCAACACAGAACTTAAAAAATGGCAAAACCTCCCATGCTCCTGGATTGGAAAGATTAACATCGTGAAAATGGCAATACTTCCCAAGGCTATCTACAAATTCAACGCAATACCTATCCAAATTCCACCCTCATTCTTCAAGGAAATAGAAGAGGCAATCCAAAAATTCATATGGAACAATAAAAGACCCCGAATAGCAAAAACGCTCCTGAATGGAAAGAACACTGCTGGAGGAATATCAATACCAAACTTCAAACTCTACTATAAAGCCATAGTAATCAAAACAGCTTGGTATTGGCATAAGAACAGACCTCAGGACCAATGGAATAGAATTGAAAACCCAGAAATGAACCTACAGACCTAAAGCCATCTAATCTTCGATAAGGGAGCTAAAACAATAGAATGGAAGAAAGACAACCTCTTCAGTAAATGGTGCTGGCAAAATTGGTTAACTACATGTAGAAAACTTCAGCTAGATCCTTATATATCACCCTGCACCAGAATCAACTCCAAATGGATCAAAGACCTTGAACTCAAAGCAGACACTCTGAAAACATTACAGGATAGAATAGGAGAAACCCTAGGTCTCCTTGGCTCAGGCCGAAATTTTCTGAATAGAGACCCGGAAACACAAATCAAAGAAAGGTTGGACAAATGGGATTGCATAAAGTTGCAGAGCTTCTGCAGGGCAAATGACATAGCTAGCAAGATCAATAGAAAGCCCACGGATTGGGAGAAGATCTTTACTAGCCATACAACGGACAAGGGTCTCATATCTAAAATATACTTGGAACTCAAAAAATTAAACCACCCAACAACAAATCCTCAAAGAAACAACTGCCCAATAAATAAGTGGGCGAAAGACTTAAAGAGAAACTTCTCTGAAGAAGAAAGAAGGATGGCCAATAGACACATGAAGAAATGTTCAACATCCCTAGCCATAAAAGAAATGTAAATCAAAACAACATTGAGATATCACCTCACTCCAGTTAGAACGGCAAAAATCAAGAACTCTAACAACAACAGATGCTGGAGGGGAAGTGGACAGAAGGGAACCTTACTTCATTGTTGGTGGGAATGTAAACTTGTTCAACCACTTTGGAAAGCAGTATGGAGGTTCCTCAAAAGACTTCACATAGAGCTCCCCTATGACCCAGCAATCCCACTTTTGGGCATTTACCCTAATGTTTACAAAAAAGACCACACTAAAGCTACCAGCACAACTATGTTTATTGCAGCATTATTTACCATAGCTAAGATATGGAACCAACCCAGATGCCCCTCAGTAGATGAATGGATCAAGAAAATGTGGTATATATGCATAATGGAATTCTATGCCTCCATCAGAAAGAATGACATTGCCCCATTTGTTAGGAAATAGAAAAACTTGGAAAAAATTATATTAAGTGAAGTAAGCCAGACCCAAAGAAACGTAGGTCCCATGGTTTCCCTTATTTGTAATATCTAGTATATGTATGAGTCAAGCGGAAAAGGTCAGATAATGTGATGTCAGGAAAATGAACCCTTAGGTGTGTATTTTAATGTTTTTTTTTCTTTCATGCATGTGTTTCTAACACATTTATAAGATTATCTCTTTGTTGCTTTGTATGTCCCTCCCCCACAGTATAACCCCCGCTTTCACTATATTTGATGTCAGTATAACTTGTGGAGGAGATGGGGAAAAACCAGTTGTTTAAGCATACAGGTGGACCTGTTGCAACAATAAGAAGTACAAGTTGTCGTGTCCAAAACGAGCTTTACAACGTTGGTGCGGGGGGGGGGGGGGGGGGGGGGAAGGGGGGGAAGAAGGGGAAGGAGAAGGATTGGGATTGGGGGGGAGGGGGGAGGCTGGGAAGGGATGTGAAGGGTAAACAAAGGAGGAGGCTGCAATGCTTGGTAAGAAATGTACGCATTATCCTGCCCTGCCCATGTAACTGTAACTCCTCTGTACAGTATGTTCACAAATAAAATTAAATTAAATTTAAAAAAAAAAAAAAAAAGAAATGGGCTTCCTTTACATTATATTGCTTTTTTTCTGGATAAAGATTAATAACTGCTTTATGAGAAAAACATCCTACTTCTTTAGGCATAACTACTTCCTCATGAGGTAAACATTTCATGTTAGTTCAGAGTTTTTCTTCAAGTGACCACAAGAATATGAAAGTATTTTTCTTTTGGTCATGTCTTATGTCTTTGGGAGTAGAAGGGGGGATACAGAAATGGAGGGACAAAGGGTAAACAAATGCAATCATGGTACACTACAGTGAAAATGAACTATACAACTTGTGGTTGGGATGGGAGGGAAAAACTTGGAGAGAGCGATGGAAGGTGTGACATTGTCCAAAAGGAAATTACTTTTTGCCTGACTAATGTAACTGCAACCCTCTGTTTTTAGCATTTTAATTAAGAATAATAAAATTTAAAACATTAAAATTATTTTCAAAAGGTTTGAAGAGTTGATTATTGTGCACAAGTAAGTCTCCTTTGTAAATAACACATTCATTTGGATATGAATGTATCTTCAGAAAAAGAGGCTTTGCAACCTGAGCGCTCCTATTACCTAGATAGACTTATAATTAATAAACATTGTTGTAGAAATCACAAACTTTCCAGAGGCAAATCTTATTAGGTGACATAGTTTCCCACTCTACTTAATTAACCCTCATAGCAATGTCAATATTACTGTGATTACAACTGAAAGGAGAAAGCCCTCTAAGGAAAACAAAAGGGAACAAAGCCCACTTGGCTACCACCCTCCAGACATGAGTGCTAGGTATACCCTAAGGTGTGTTATCCATCTTTAACATATAGGACTGGGAGCCATCCCCGCTATGAAATCAGGATTCATGCTTGAAATACGTGCCTTACTGAAATTACCTTCTTTTTTCCTAGAATATTCTTTCTTAAGATCCTGGATGTTTGTTGTCAGTACTTCCAGCTCCTGTTTTTTGCCTTTTACTTCAGCAACCAACTTCAAGAGATGCTCTTTTTTTTCCTGAATGATCTTATTCTGCCTGGAGATCTCTGCATGGAGCACAAGGACATAACATTAATACACACACTTCTGCCTCAAACATGGAACAAAACACAAAATGCATTGTTTTATACAACTAATAAGGAATGAGTTTTGGGTTTTGAGGTAGGTTCTCATATAGCCTAAGATGGCTTCAAACTCAGGTTCCTCCTGCCTCAGCTTCCTGGGTATAAAGAATGTTTTGACTGACAAGTATTTTCTAATGACTTCAAAATCATAAACAGCAAAAGGAAAGAAAAAAACTTACTCTGTTCTCCTAGTCCTCTAAACACAGCTTCTACAGCCACCCCACCCCTCATACGCATCCTCAAAATGCAACTAACAACAAAGCCTGTGCTAAACCTGGAAAAAGGAAATAACACTGGCAAGGCCACTCTGACCTCTGTCAACCGGAAAACACACGACTACCCAAAAGTCTAAGAACTCTCAGAAGCGAGAGAAACAAAGCCAGTTGAGCTTTATGATGTGCTTATTATTTTATTGTTGTAATTAGACAGTGTCTCCCTATGTTGTCCCATCTGGTCTCAACCTCATGGTTCCAAGTCATCCTATTACCTCTGTCTCCACAGTAGCTGAGACTACAGGTATGCACTACCACAACAAACTGTGCATAAATTTTTAAATATTTAGTTAAACTAACATTTAAGTGAAATTTGAACGTTAACACAAAACACATTGTTAATAACAGCAAACTTGCTCTATGTTAAACAAACTGAAACAACTACATTGCCATTTAGTTCCAATATTTAATTACAAGTGTTCTCCAAAAGTGAAATGAGTGAGCCCATCATAAAATTTCTGAGATCTTTAAATACCACAAATCCTTAAAAGAGAAATGATGCCATGACCTGTTTTCCAAACAGAACTGAACCCAGGATTCTTTGCTTGAAGTGCATCTCATAAGACTGGCCTCCCTGGGGCTGGGAAGGTGGCTCAGTGGTAGAGCGCTTGCCTTGCATGCCTGAGGCCCTGGGTTCGATTCCTCAGCACCACATAAGCAAAAAGAAAAAAAGCCGGAAGTGGCGTTGTGGCTCAATTGGTAGAGTGCTAGCCTTGAGCTGAAGAGCTGAGGGACAGTGCCCAGGCCCAGAGTTCAGGCCCCACGATCGGACCCCCCCCCCCCCCACACACACACACAAAAAAAAAGACAGGCCTCCCTTAAGAAATAGGGATATCTCATTTTCAGCAATAACAAACAAAAAAAGAATGATCTAGACCAGGAAATAGGTAGGTGCTATACGGAAAAAAAGTGTAGAACACAGTGGAAACACATATTTGACATATTTGATATCCAGAGTGACATTTTATGTTTCTAAATGCCATAAAAAAAAGCCAGTACATCTAATGAATTCCCAATGGAAATAGAGGGAGAGCAAAAAAGGTCTATCAAAGGTAATTACTAACCCTATCACCACATGTTGTTAAGAAGACATAAGGGGAAAGAATAACAAGTCAAGAGACCTGTCCTTCAGAAGTGGCACTTGATATGAAGACACTTTATTCCAACAGTGGAGTACTAGGTGAAGAACTGATGTACAGCTGGGTGAAACAGAAATACACATCCCAGTCAGTTGTATATTCACGAAGTTAGGAGAAAGAAAATATAAAAACCAGTAATCTATGAGTAAATTATTCTCTAAATAGTGCTAGAATCCAAAATAAGTTCTATATGTATTAAAT